CCGGTACGTGTGGGGGGGGGGGGGAGGGTGCAGAATGGCACCATGATCTGCGTTACCTCCTATATGTGGGTGTAGCATGAAACATGATGGTTTAAGGTGGTATTGAGAGAAACAAAAGTAAACCTGACACAACGCACACCAGCATGTGCACATTATATGAACCAATGCGTTCCCCCGCTAGTGTAATCCAGCACTTGCTACATCTCAGAGCTGCTGATCTCCTGCAGCCTCTTTGCAGCATCTTCCTGTCACCATGCCCTCCAGCGATGGGTTCCATGGCGTTTCTCTGGGCAAGTTTCCTGATGGTGACAAGAGTGCACCATGATACCGGTGATCATCCCTGTGACGGGGCAACAACGCAGTAACACAACCAGAAGACAAGGATATAGCGTTGTAACAGGAAGTGCCTGAACCATGGCGGGATCACCGCGGATTATTTTATTGCAAGCTGCAGATTTGATATGAAAATGACTCTTCAACTTATATTTTTTATGATCAAGACAGAGTTTCAGCCTGTGGGTGGAAATCTTCACTGTTCAAGCACAGAGGGGGGCGGACTGCAGCCTGAGCATGTCATAGCATGCCTGTAAAATGGATCGCCCCCCCCCATGCGTGGTTTAGAGGTGATCCTTGCAGCACTGGGGTCACTGGTTCAAATCCTGGCCCGGGACACTATCCGCATGGAGTTTGCATGTTACCCCGTGCTTGCATGGGCGTACTCCCAGACTGGTAGGTTCAATGGCTTCTGTCAGGGCTGTCCCTATAATGAGGCAGCCTGAGCCTGTTGCCTCAGGTGGCATCTCTTTGGGTCACATGGGTGGGGCAGCAGGCAGAGAGGCATGGTCGCTCGGATGCACAATGCTTGCAGTGTGCCTGCCGCCCCTTTTGCAGCCCAGTGTCTCAGGTTGCTGGGAGTGTCTCAGGTTGCTAGGAGTGTCTCAGGTTGCTGGGAGTGTCTCAGGTTGCTGGGAGTGTCTCAGGTTGCTAAGAGTGTCTCAGGTTGCTGGGAGTGTCTCAGGTTGCTGGGAGTGTCTCAGGTTGCTAGGAGTGTCTCATGTTGCTAGGAGCCAGGCAATCTGAGGCACTCTGGCAGGAGTCCTGCCAAGCTCCTGGCAACCAGTGACATCACCGGTTACCAGGAGCAGAGCGGCACACCCCCTTGTTAGCGTGCACCACCGGCACTCCCCCTTCCCGAAATTTGCTAGGGACACCACTGGCTCCTGTCCACATTGTCCCTGGTGTGTTCGCATGAGACCGGGACCTTCGAGTGTAAGCTGCTCGAGCGCAGGGACTCATGTGATTGTACGGTATGTACATCGCTGCGCACATTGTCGGCGCCATACTTACACCTGCAATAAATATTCCGGCATGTCCAATCAATCGCCTCTGTTGTCCCCAGAGAGGCGCCGGTCAGGTAAGGGTTAACGGTCTATTGTTTGATATCGGCGCTCTGTTCCAGTGAGCTCATCTCTTCCCGGAGGCCAGACATGGATCTCCGTTATCTCCGACCCGCCAAACACTTGTGCCGCTGGGCTGCGCTGATACCATCACGTTAAACGTTCTGCCAGGAAAGAGAGATTGACATCTGCACGGCTTCATGTAAAGGGAATCGTCCCGGGTTACATTACCGAGGTTCGCTGCCGCCGCCATGTTGAGCGCCGTTAACCCTTGGCGTGTCGGAGGAGGGCGAGAGGACCTGTCCCGGTGGGGGAATAGGAAGGAGGCCGGGACTTCAGGTATTAGGAGGGTTTCTACGAAAGTATAACAATGAACTTCTCGTCTCCTCCCTTTGCATTTTGTTATATCTGTTCAATAAGTGCCAAAAGTACCTGTTGATCCCGCCAGAAATCCAGTGAGCTCCCAACGTCCTGAGCCCGTCATCCCTAGCAGTGTTATCAGGCTTGTCTGGGTGGACTACAGAACACCTCCGCTATGTTATAAAGGTGAGGGGGAGTTGCTTTGTGTGCTAACACACTTGCTGTCTTAAGGTGACAACGCTGCACCTCCATAGATACAGTGCAGGGGCGTGTATGGGGGGCCCTGTGATTTCTAGTTACACCCCTTGCAGAGCCCACCTGAGATCCCAAACAGCTCACCTGAGAGTGACCCTGCAGAGCCCCCCATAGACTCTCTATGATGGGCTCTGCAGGATCTCAGGTGAGCTGGTCACACCCCTGCACACCTCTTACCTGTCAGTCCCGTTCCACTGTCTGCCTCCTCCTCCTGCACAGGGCCCCTCCTCCTCCTGCACAGGGCCCCGCCTCCTCCTGCACAGGGCCCCTCCTCCTCTGATGTAACCGGCCCCGCCTCCTCTTCCATCACCGGGCCCCGCCTCCTCCTCCGCTGCCGACTCCGGGCCCAGCATCCTCTGCCGCAGCTGTTGGCTGTCACTGACTCAGCAGCGGGTGTGAGGAGGATCGCGCCGCTGCAAATATCACGCACAGGTTGTCGGTGATCTGAACAGCGGCGTGTTCCTCCTCACACCCGCCAGTGACAGCCAGCAGCCTGACATGCAATAGCGACCCAGGTGGACCGCACGGCATCAGGGGGATGTCCTGGCTGGGTCCCCCTGGACCCTGGGCCCCATAGAGGCTGCCTGGGTCGCTAAGGCGATTGTTATGCCACTGGTACAGTGAGTGAGCGTTGTCATCCTAGGACAGGAAGTGTGTCACTGGCAGGATCGCCAGGTGCAACTAAAGGAGGAAAAAGCCTGAAATAAGAAAACGAATGCGGCCGCCACATCTCTGGACTGGTAAGCTGCAACATGTCACATATTTGTTCTTCGGTTTAGATTAGTCGAGCTGTCAGCCGGGAAGGGGGGAAAGGTTGCTGTTAGTCGGCTGTGGTGCCGCCCCTCCCCACCCCCTATGAGATGCCGCCGGCTTCTCAGGCTGCCTCATTATGGGGACGCCCGTGCTTTATAGTATTCAGTATCTAAAGCCATCACATAGTGCCCGGGGTAGGCAACCTTGGCACTCCAGCTGTGCTGAGAAGCAGCCTCTCAGGTGTTTATGTGCTGCCACCAGGCATAATGATAGGAGGAGAGAGCAGAGTGAGGAGCTCTCCAGTCTGCTGCTTCTTCTTTCACTGTCTAGTCACAGGCTGGGGGGAGGAACAAGACCTGTAAATGTTACTGAGAAAAATTAGGTCTCCCGGCCTGCCAGACTGGGCTATGCTGTGTGGCACAGCTGTGTAAATCTCAGGACTGGATGGGCCTGATTATAAACCCTTTGGCAGGTACAATAGCTCCCATATATGAATCTCATCTGTGTATTCAGCTGTTTGCCCGGAGTTTTGCTTTAGCTGCTTCCCCTCCGGAGCTCCGGAATGCTATCAGAACCGGCGATCCATCTTATGCGCAGAAGTGAAAGATCGGCCCCGGGTAGAGTCGCCCTTTAATTCCCGTCTAAACCCGGATGATCCTCCGGCATCACCAGGCAGCTGCTTCGAAAGAACGTTTT